ATTTATTGTCAACAATCGTGTGGTCTAGACCACAAATTAATTTATTTTTAAACTCAACAGTCATCACTTAGTAACATTTCAAGCAGATGTATGTAGCATGGATATATGTATCAGGGAATATCTACATATAGAAATAAAAGGGACCTACATTTACTTATTATGGATGATGAAAAGTCGTTTGAAGCTCTCTTAGCTGCGTAGGTAATTGCATTAACTTTCTAAAATGTAGTAATTACATCAAGAACTATAAAAGATACTATTAAACGTCTCAATACGAAAGGGAACTATAATATTATAGTATTAGAATGGTTTGCAGTATAATACTATATGTGAATAATATGAGGATACAAAATATTTCATTATTATTGAAAATAGACTTTATGGATCCTGAATCAGTCTATAGACTCACTCAAATTAACACATGCTTAAACATTAATAGTGAAACCCAATGATAGGTAAAACATTACTCATTCCAGCAAAATGAATATGAGATAAGGTTAAGGTACTCGTTAAGCAGAGTGTACTTATTTAAACAAATGTATCTGGTATATGTATAAATCTGTATAAATCTAAGACATTCTAAAGCTGATGTCATTAGAATTTGGAAAAAATCTCATAGCATATCGTTTGTGGCAGCCCTGCAATTGTCGGAGAAAAGATTCACAACTTATGTTGTTTTCTCATAAGCTCTATTCGATTTATAATGCCTTACAGAAAAAAGATTTTTTGTGTCTTCACGGTGAATTTTTATTTCTCCAGAAATTTATTATATTAATCCGAACGCCAACAGCAGGTGATAGTTTTGGAGGTAATCTACCAACAGGATTCATTTTGCAATGCATAAAACTGACACCTTCTTGATCAAATTTTGTCATGAACTACTTTTGAACCCGGATTCACACCAATTTTTTGTCTCTTATTTTTATTGGAAATTATGCTGGTATTTTTAAAATGCTGCAAATGATACTGATAAAGTCGTTAACGAATATTTTCTTGTTAGACTGCATTTTAGTATTCATAGACTCATGTTTTATTTATAGTGATATAGTGCAATCCATAGTTTTTGATATTTTTCTTACGTTAGTATGTGCAACATCCATTATAAAAATAGTTTTTAAAAACCTATAACTTGATAGTTAATAGTACTTTCTATGCTTAATACAATGTTTAGAGTTCTTACTAAATCTGTTCGTGTGTATCGATGATCTTCTACGAACTTATCTCAAGTTTTTGTAAAGATTTTTTTCTTTTGGTAAATATAAAAAATTGATTTTTTTAAGTAATTAATTTATTAATTGTGATATTTGGATGGTCTTCGACTGTCATCATTAATCACATAATTATTATATATTTTTATAAACATTTCAATTATTTTAATTCAACCAATTTAAAAAAAAAATAAAATACAATCAAATTACATATATTTTTATATATATAAATATATAGGTATATATATTTTTATAAACATTTTAATTATTTTAATTTGACCAATTTAAAAAAAAAAATAAAATACAATCAAATTATATATATTTTTATATATATAAATATATAGGTATATATATTTTTATAAACATTTTAATTATTTTAATTCGACCAATTTAAAAGAAAAATTAAATACAATCAAATTATAATACAATTTATAATAATTAATTAATAATTAATTCAATAATAATAATAACAATAACGTGTTATAATACATGTGTAAAATTATATATAAATTAATATACCTAATATTATGTTATTATAGTTCATAATATATTATGTTTTTTAAAACAATTTTTTTTGTCCGGACAATGCCTAATTGAATCTAGAAGCCTACAAGTACACGTGCTGAAATGCAATAAATACTGCATACTTAAGAAGTCTACTTCATGAAAAAGTAGCTGGAACTAAAATCAATGAACATACTTTGAAATAATTTATTGTTCTCAATACTAAACTCATTGTTAAAGTTCCATAAAGGCACGTTCTAAGATATTTGAGCAAAAATTATTTGTTTGGTGGCTTGATCAGATAAAGTTTAACCTCAAATGTTCTCGTGTTCATACTAGTTTTTCTCTCTGTTAGGTAGATAAAGTATCTCAACAATTACTGAGCAACTACGCGATCTTTTTATGAGCACTCAAGTTCAGAGCTCAGTATGAAATTAAACAGCGAGTTGAAAAGTTGATTTTATATTAGCGGAAGTATATAAAATTCTCGTATGAGAAAATTATTTAAAAACAATTCATAATTTATTGTTTTGTGGTTAATTATAAAATTAAATCTGTTTTACACTTAATTACGAAAGTTCATTAAAAGTTAATAAAGAGGAAATGTTGTGAACTTATATTTTTGTTTTTTCTTTTTCAACTTTTACCTTTTCTTCAAAGTTTTCGTAATAACTTTCGCTTTCTTCACTAAAACAAAGTTCAAAAGTCGTTGAGCCTTTCTTATAAATTCACGTATAAAAAGATGTGTATCTGTATCTGAATGTGGCAAACTATTTTTATTTTTATTTTTATAGTGAATTCGTGAATAAATAAATAAATAAAATACTCATAGTTACACAAAAATTTTAAATCAAATTTTATAATTTAATTTTTACATTTTTGTTTTCGTTTTTAAATTCGAAAAGTTTTTTAAAAATTACATCACAAAATTGAACTGATGAAATTTAAACTTGTGCAAATATTTGGTTAATCATTAAAAAAAATAAAATAAAAATCAATACAAAAAATATTAGTCAACCATTTTTATAAACAGATTATTTTTTTAATCTTAAAAAAAGTAATAATTTTTAATTGTGCTAAAATGGATGGTGCTTGGCGGTTTCGCTTTATTATCTTCACGATTGTGGCCTTGTTGGCGTTTTGCGATTTTTATGATTTTGGTAATATAAGAGGCGTTAAATCTAATCCAAATCAGGTAGCATCAACTGCCGGGAAGTTTCAACAAAAAAATGCTGAAATTCATATCGGCCAAGGTGAGTTTCATTACACTGCATACGTTATGAAGTTGCTATCTTTTTAATATAAAACATACCATATACACTGTACTCGTATATAAGTCAAGTTATTATACACGTAATGACTTTATGCTAACCTCATATATTATTATTCTTTTTTTTGAACGTTAGTTTATTATTTAGCACAATTACCATTTTCTTTTATGCCAACAGTTATACCATTGCTAATGAGATTTTCTAACAAACAAATTCTCATACAAATTAACTAGTATAAGATAATGAGTACAATGTATTTCTTTCGCTTCCTAGTCACCCACGCTCTGCTAGTTCCAAATGTGACCTCTTGTCAGATATTTTGTTTGAATTATTTCTGATAATAGTTTAAGTACACATTTGGTTTAGTTTTTTGTTCAATTTTCTTAATTAAACAAACAAGATATATTGTAGTTTTAAGCAATAAAACAAGTGTTGCGATTGAGAATGTATGGTAATAAAAATTTTTGTTTATAAATTTCCATAATATGGAGTTCTTCGGAAGGCTGATTTAACCTCGGAGTTTCGTAGAGTTAGCTACTCTACTTTTTTGTACTGCGCTATTTGCCGATATAGAATACTTCTGGAGTTATCAAGCTTTAAAGTTGTTAAGGTTTTATATTATAGTGACTGCAGACGTCATCTATTAATTAATATATGCATTTGTGACATGTATCTGCTGATATATTTAAAACTAAGCTATATTCACATATGGCATAGTGGAAAACTTTTCTCAAAGTAATTATTTTTGTTAGAATCTTTAAGTAGGCATTCTCAAGAAATCGAAATCGTACTACATAAAACAAAATATCTTCTGCAAAATCGTGGGCGTACGCAAACCAGTAAGCCAAGGGCAATACATTTTAAAAAGTCTCTTTATGAAAACAGACAAAAACCATCATGGACTTTTTATTTGTCCCGAGGGTTAAGTCCTTGTTTATTGCTACGGTACGAGCTACCAAGGGGAATATTCAATCTCTAAGCATGGTTTCATAAGCAGTTTTATATGCCTATATGATTTTTATTTTTATATATCGATATTGTTAAGACAACATATAAATTGTATAACAATTTTCTTAACGATTTTGAATTGCAATTTTTAGATAATTGACATAAATTCAGTTAAATATACATAAATAATATATATACATATATACAAAAATATACAGTATATGTACTCTATTGTATATTTTTACAAATCATATATAAACTTAAATACTTTTAATTTATCTAAGACTAATTTGATTGTGATTAACTTTTATTTAATGTATAAATTTTTTCTAATTTAAAGTATCTTGAAATTTTACTAATAGTCCATTATATCGATTGGAACTAGATCACTAAACAGTAACTACAATCACAAGTGTTTTGTCTGTGTAGTATGTACTCTACTTACTTAATTTTTTTAATGCACAAACTGCATATGTGATTTGATCTAATACTATTTAACTCTGATATGCATTGATCCTATAGTGAACAGTAAAAGGTTTAGTCAAGATTTTTAAATATTTTTGGATGGGAATGCAAAATTTAAATTTGCATAGAAGCAGTCCTTCCAATATTCGTTTGTCTATAAAACAATACGGTTCCGAACTTAACGTAGTCATTGAAGCTAGTTTTCACGAAAATATTATATATTCCATTTCATAAAATATCACAAAAAAATCTAACTAAAATGAATATAATAAATATTAAGGGCTCTAAAATATAAATTTATATATATTAAAATACTAAAATATATATATTTAAATATAGTTTATATAAAATACCCGTAAAAAAATATATTTATATATATTAATATACTAAAAGATATATATTTATATATATTATATATAAAATACTTGCAAAGAATAGGTAGTTAGTAGTATATTACTGTGGACATTATGATATTGACAAAAATTGTGAAGTAAATAAAAATTCTAAGGTATTATTATTTAATTTCTTGTCAACTCAATTATCAATAAATAAACAATGTTTCATTTTTTATGTATTTAACAATGAATTATGTATTTATTATTGAACAATATATGAATAAGCTTGATGGTTATCACTTTCCTTTTGCTTTAAACTTTTTCATACTCTTAGCATTCCCATCATTATTAACAGTGTCATTACTTTTAAAACTCTCAGTACTTTCAACACTATCCGTATGCTCAATACTTTTAACACTTTCAATGCTTTCAATATCTCCAGTACTCTCACCATTATTACGCCGTGTTGTACTTAGGATTTTAACAGACGGCATTAAGAAACACAAAAATGAAATAGTTAAAGAAAATATTCCTAATATCAATGCTGGTAACATGAAGTCAGCAGCCCGCCAATCAACTACAAATGGTGACAACATCGCACCCAAGCGTCCCATAACAAAGCAAGCTCTAACGCCTTCGTGACGAATATACCTTGGAAAAACTTCACCGCCGTACAAGTGTACTTGTGGCATGGTCATACATGACGTAAGTAGACCTACTGTCAGCATCATCAATTTTATGGAACCAGTTAAAGTGATCAATGCAAATATCAGTAAACTTATGCCAGTAGTAGCAGTTGTACAAATAAGTAAACATTTCCGCCCTAGACGCTTTGACAAAGGTACACATGCACTAGTGCATGGTAGGGTAAGCCAAGCACCAATTGCTACATTTATAAAAATGTTGCCCTGCAAGAATGCTATATATTGTGATACTCCGAAGTATACAAAACAAATACAAAACCATTCTGAACACATAATCAAGGTATTATTGCGCAAATCAGACGAACGAAATAAATCTGCTGTTGTTACTGTCCTAGTTATAGCGCGATTTGGTATTTGACTATATGATAATATAACTCTTTCTCGTATTCGGTCAATATGTTTTCTGTTACACTTTGCAGCTCTCTTTATATTTCGTATTGCTTTCTCTATATTTCCTTGCTCAAAAAGCCATCGTGGTGATTCCGGAAAAAGGAAGGTGTAGAATACATATATAATGCAAAACGCGGAGAAAATAAAATTGAAATAACGCCAGTGTCTGACAAAATATGCACAAAGAGGTAAAGATCCATGACCCATAGTGAATGGAATTTGTGAAAGTATTTCAGCAGCTTCACGTTTATCATCTTCAATTATGTCCTCAATGACCTCTGCGCTATGAGGAAAAAACTGCTATATTTATACGTCAGAATGTTTAAATAATACAAACCTTGTTTCTATTAAGCCTCCGAGTGCAAAAGCTGTCACAAATCTTAGTAAACAGAACTGCCAAAATGTATGTACAAACGAAGTGATTAAGCTTGATGTTAGTAAAATTAGACCAGATGATACAAATGTTAAACGACGCCCTTTTCTGAAAGACATCTGCATTTTTAATTTTAATAATGAGAATTGAATTTAATATTTGTGTGAATTACCTATCTGACCATAGGGAGAAAAATATACTTCCAAATAATATGCCAAACATAACAATCGCTTGTGATAAGTCCGTTAGATATGCGCGATCACAAATTAAGTCCCATTCAGTAACAATCGTTTCTATGAAAATCGACCGATCGTATTCTACAGTTAGACATTCTTTCGAGCAAGCATCAGTGATATTAGTTGGACTTATACACATAAATTTTGTTGGTGGAGCAAAGAAGATTATTGCCAATTGCACCCATCCAGTCGGTATATTTGCAAGGTAAACACTAGAACACACCGTGATGTGATAAATACCGAATGTACCAATCGTTTCAACCAAAACATCTTTTTCAGTTTAAATATACATATAATTAAAAAAATATATTAGTGCAATTAGAAAGTATTATGGTAATAAATTCACCTTTATTGTTTCCATTCTCTTCTGTTGAAGTGCTATCATCCTGACTAGAATCACTGTCATTATTATTAGTATTTTTGGTATTGAACAAAGAAAATGTGAAATTAAACCGACTTAAGTCCATAAATATATCTATCTATATAAATAAAAGCAATATAAAAATATATAAAAATATATATAAATATATATAATTGTATAACTAGTAAAATTTATTAAATAAATTTTGACAATTAAATCGCAAATTAGAAATATGATTATATCAAAGTAACAAGTTTTTTCTATCATTCAGTTCTATCATTCATACATTGTATGAAAGTTGAAAACTAAGGTCTAGCAACGTTTCATGTTTAAAGAAGTAGAGCGTTCATGGGATGCAGTATATCGTTACACAAGTCCTTAAATGGTTTCTATCTATAGTAAACGATATTTAGCTTTTGACACAATGTCTCTATTATTTATTTTTTATAATATATTTTTTTTATAAAGAAAATTCACTTCTAATGTAGACTTTATATTATAGTTTCTTGATTGCTTTTTTCCGCATACATAGATTTTAAATATATTTTCTTTTTGCGAATATTATATTATTGGTGTGTATCAATGTCAGTCTGCAATTAATTACTAGGTAGGATTTATATATAAAATATGTATGAAACCTTCTCAAATTTTTTACTATTGTTGCCATTACACTAAATATATTTTTTAAAGTAACTAACTGTAACTTCATTCTATTACTATATAACTATTATGCTGTTAAACACAATCGTTAAGATACTCAGTTTATCAATCTTGAATGACGAAGATTAGGTTAGGTTATACAGGTGATTCCAAGGGATCCAGTTAGACCTATAGGCCCATTGTGTTACCGAATAAACAGTGAATAAAAAAAATTAAAAGATAATAAGTCGTTTCACAAATACTCAATAATCAGTATTTGTAAACTTTAAGCGAATATAGACTAAAATGTAATAATATTTTTAAATAAAAGTATATAAAATCTGCAAATTCGAATCTAAAGATTATTAAGAATATATATTTATAGTTTTGATTTTTACAATGACATATGATTATCCATATAACACCTAATGTACAAATACTTATAAGTTCAAACTTAGTTTACCATAATATCGCTTAAGAAGTCATCGTAAGTAGCCCAGATAATCGTGGATTGTTAGAATCTTGGGGGTTGTCATGTAGGTGACAGTCTACTGTTTTTTGTCATTTTAAGCTCTGTCTATTGTTAAAATACTTAAGTATTGAGTTTTACATATCTCCCTTAATAATATTGAATTGTTTAAATATTTTGCAGTCAAATAATATTAATTTTTAAGCAATATAGTTAATATCTTAAAAGACTATAACTTAAGTCAAGTTAATTACTAAATCTACTCAATAGAAAAATTGACGTAATTTATAATATATTATATTAAATGCATATATCAAATATGAAATTAATTTAAGGTATTTTATATATGATTCATATATATGATAATATATGATTCATAAAATTTGATATATGTTTCAATATATGAATAAACATTTATTTTGGGATTTCAAAAATATATGATTTAATGCATTTAGTAGAATTTATTAGAGCATGATACAGCGGCAGAGCTGTTAAACATGGTTATTTATAGTGAAAGGCATAGTTTTTAAAACTTTTTCAGTTTTAAAAACTTCTGAAATCTATTTCATAAAACTTTTTGACTATCGTATTTTTTCATTCTCTTCTATTTTTGTTATTAGATGATTTATCAAATGTAGACAGTGTAGACAGCATTTATTAAAAATTTATCATTCTTTCCGGGTTCAGATTTTTTTAACAAAGTTCAAGTTCAAGTACAAATTTAAAAATTAGTACTTTACTTCTATGAAACTCGTTGGTCAATTTCATTTCAAATGGATATCATTTAAAACTTTTTTAATAAATTATTTTAATTTAATATTTACTACACAATTTGTTAAAGAAGACTAATAAAAATTATAGAAGTCCATTCTCAATGAATAAAATGTGTTTGCGATTCTCAACAAATATTTATATTAAGAACCTGAATTATTTATTATATAAATTCAACATTTTTTTTTTATTAAAACAAGCTAAGTTATTTATTGCGTAAGATTTCTACTATTACCAAAAAAAAAAATAAATAAGGTTTCCCAGAAATGTTAGAACAGCTGTGATTTTGCCAACCTAACCAATTTATACAGAAAACTGGTTCTATTTTGTTGATTAATAAACTAAGTCTAAGACTGCTACCAAATTATTAAGCATTT